AAAAGTATCCACCTTAAGTAACTTTTGAAGGACTGATTATTACAAAAAACAAAAAAATACGTCAATTAATATTCGAAGGAGGAGATATCGTGCCATATTTAAGTTTGCTGAAAAAGTCACCCTTTCACCCCTACTATCATCCCGTCAATTTTTTTAAATGGCTTCCCCCATTTTTTTATCCATTTTTGGATTGTTCTCGTTTAACTGATTTCAAAAATGTATAAAACATGGGGTTTAAAATAATTAGTTTATGATCTACAGGGTTCCATTATTTGAGTGACAAATTTTTACATCTCACCTTACTGACTGCAGCAAAATTGGATTTAGAATACATTATACCTTAATTGTACCGCTAAAAACTTGTTGAAGTTTTATATGATACATGGTAAAGTATTGGAGATTTGAAAAATTAATTTAAATTACTTTTATAGTGTATTTTGATAATAATAATCATCTTTATTGTATTTTGATACATGTGCACATTGATTTGTTGAGGTTATTTATTTGATTTGAAAATGGTTTACAGTTTACAAGAAAGAATTGAGGTTTATGCTACAAAAATAACAGTTCTGCACGAGCTGCTGCTAGAATTTTCAACAAAACACACCAAGGAGGTCATGCAACTCATAAGTATGTAATTGATCTTATGCATAAATTTACATCAACAGGGTCAGTTGGCAATAAAAAACATAACCGACTGGAACTCGTAAATAACGAAGCAATTGAAGTCGAAGTTTTAGGACAAGTAAGTCTTGAAAATCAACAAGCACAGTCACTGACAACAATAAGCAGAGAAGTAGGTGTTTCATTTTCCACAGTCTATCGAATATTACACAAGCATAAGTACCATCCATACAAAATTAAATTGGTTCAAGAGTTGTATGAAGATGATTTTGATCGTCGTCTTGAATTTTGTGAACTATTGAGTCAGCGCTTGACTGACAATCCACATTTGTTGCACAACCTTTGTTTTTCGGATGAATGCACATTTTCAGTTAATGTTTTAGTTAATAGACATAATTGCAGATATTGGGCTGAGAGTGATCCACATGTTGTGCGTGAATACCACACACAGAATCCTCAAAAGTTAAATGTATGGTGTGGTATCCTAGGTGACCACATAGTCGGACCTTTCTTTTTAGACGGAAACTTAAATGGAGAGTCATATCTTGAGTTATTGAGAGAAGTAATTGATCCACGTATTACAACAATAATAGAAAATGATAATAATCTTTCTGAAGATTTGCTTGTCTTTCAACAGGATGGAGCGCCTCCACATTTTGCTTTGCCAGTACGACAATTTTTAAATGAAACTTTCCCCAATCGTTGGATAGGTAGAAGAGGCTCAATGATGGAGTGGCCACCTAGATCACCGGATTTATCACCTCTAGACTTCTTTTTATGGGGTTATTTAAAAACAAAAATTTATGCTACCCAACCAGAATCTTTAGAAGATTTACGACAAAGAGAGTATGAATGCCTACATTTAAATGCACACGTGTTCGGTAATGTCAGGGAGGCTTTTCAATCTAGGTTATACCATTGTATGGAAGTAAATGGTGGACATTTTGAACAATTTTTATAATAAATGTTGAAAATGAAATATTCGTTTTGTCATTGGAAACGCTTGTGACAAAATCATTAAAATAAAAGTTTTGCACAATTCAATTTTATTTTAATTTAAAATTCTGTAGATCGTAAACTAATTACTTTAATCCTCATGTTTTATACATTTCTGAAATCAGTTAAACGAGAGCAATCAAAAAATGGATAAAAAATGGGGCAAGCCATTTAAAAAAATTAAAGGGATGATAGTAGATGTGAAAGGGTGACTTTTTTAGCAAACTTAAATATGGCACGATATCTCCCCCGAATATTAATTGACGTATTTTTTTGTTTTTTGTAATAATCAGTCCTTCAAAAGTTACTTAAGGTGGATACTTTTATCTGAAAAGCACTGTATACAATATCATGGATCTCAGAGGGGGAGCGTAAAAATGAAGTATATAATTGTAACAACCTTTTAAGAACCAAGAACGGATAGGGGGATTGACTTATATCAATGGAAAGATCAGAATACAAGCTTTACTTTGATATAGTTATTAATCCTCAAAAAATAAAAAACGGGGAATAAGAAATGGTTAAACAAAAAGGCCGGTTTTCACTCGTGTGATCAATTTTCCTCATTTCTTGAAAATTGTTAGACTCTATTAAAAATTAAAATATATATTCGAAAAGTAGACCATCTAAGCTTTAAAATGATGTGCATCGGAAATCAATATAACGGATCATAAGATTATAATTCGCGCTTGTTACGAAGATTCTAAGGAACTCCGAAATCGGCTAAAACATGTAAATAAACAAATCAATTTTGTATTAAAACGCAATAAAAGTATTACAAAAACATTTCTGAGATCATTCAAGACCCCCCAAGGTCCCATTATAAAGGCAAAATTAGAATAAATGACTATTTTTAAAGAAAATATGAATAAATTAATGAAGCAGTCTCTAAATATTGTTGAAAAAAATTTTGCCTGCTTTTTAAAATATTTTTGGCAAATACGAACTGACTTCAAGTTACATGGAATTGTAGCTACGGGTTTTCCCATTGCGATGAATTTTGAATCATCGAAAAATATCAATTTTTTCCTGAGATATGGAACAATTCGTCTGCCCGCTTCCACGTTAATTCATAGAAAGCGGAATTTCTGCAGGTAGAGCAGCAGCTGAAATGAGGAGACTTTTGAGTGCCATTATCTCGAAAAATATTGAATTTTCGAAGAAAATGATAGGAACCATTTTTGTAGATAATGAGCTTATCTTTATTTTTTGTCTCAACAAAAATTCTCTAATTGGCATATTCAGTCAGATATTAGAGGGAAACCCATTTTCCAGGTTTTAGGGGTCCATTTTAGGGGTCCACCTGCGATGACCTAAAAATTGCGCTATGAGGGAACTCATCAGCAAATTTTCTACAGGTTTGACGCTTCATTTACTGGACTATAAAAGGTAAAACCAACAATAAAATAATTCGAAACAAAATTATTGAAAAAATTCTACATGCTAACACTATGGGTAGTAGTATCTAATTGTCTGTTTCAAAGTCCGGAACACCTCCACATCCGTCCAGGGCTGCTATTTTCTAACTCATACGAGTGACTTCGCATACGGAATTTTGGCGTTTTCGTATGAAATGCAGTAAACTGTATTTTGAAGGAATCGAAAAATATCCGTATGCGAAATTTTTCTACGGAAATACATCGCATGGTCAAAGGGATACGAATTAATGCATCCGTATACTAAATTCAACTGATTCGTAAGTGATTAAGTTAATATATGCTACAAATAAATGACAAAAAAACGGTTCTTGAATTAAAAGCGAAATATTTAAAAATATGATTAATATAGAGAGTTTAGCAGCATTTGAAGAAGTTGAAATATTATCTAATATACATTAGAACTAAGGGGAAGATGACTCCAAGAATTAGACAATTATTTTGAGGCAAGAAGGAATATTTAACCTGCAGAATGTGTAACAGAAAATAATAATTTTTTGCTTGATAACCAAGCTTTAGGTATATGTTTTTTTATTTGGTGTCATTGGCATTTGCTACTTAGGTTATTAGCCTCGTGTTCTATGTAGGCTTTGTTACTGTTTTCCAACACCACTTTCGAAACAGCACTGTTAATTAAAACCCAACAGTGGATGATTGAGTGGGGAATTCTGCCTGTACATTGGTATTAATCTTTAATGAAGTTAAATGAAAATCCCGTCACTTGCGGAATTCGAACCCGGGACCTTTGGATCCGAAAGTCCAGACTATAACCCATCTATAACCACTGAGCCACCCACCCCCTGGTTAAATATTAATACGAATTTCGTTAAACTAAGGCTTACGTATATCGCCCTTTATGCGATACAACAAACATTTATAGCTTATTTGATTTTCCCACGTCAAAAATACCGACTTTTACGTTTATGCGAGAGAAATTAATTGAAATATGACATTATTGAATTATTTTTATAACTGTAACACCCTGTATTTCAGTAAAAATTAATATTTGACCCCGTTATTAGATAAAATAAAAATATATTTTTATTTATATAATCTGTAGGTAAAATATTACCTACCTATTTTTTATCAATCATCCTCTATAAACGGTCCCATAAATAATATACTTATTTATATTAGCTTAGAACATTTTATTAAACCTAAATATTTTAGGTTTTAGTAACCTAATGCTATATTGGCCAAAATAAAAGCCGTTGAACAAGCGAAAATTTTGCAAAAATTACATTCAAACATCCTAAAATAAAATACGTGAAATAATAAAGGTCAATACAGATAACTTTTCTAGTGCTCAAAATAATGACAGTTAACCATTTATATACAGTGTGGAAACCACTTATGGAATAAAATTCTTTATGTCATTATTTTAGAAAATTGTAAAAAATGCCGAGACACGTCAACTTTTGAATTGAGTTGTGCGTTATGTAAACATAAATTTAAATGTACAGGGTGATTCACGCAAGTATGCCATAGTCGGTGTTTTTTTTTTAATGAGACACCCTGTATATTTGCATATTTTTGAAATCCTCTTAATGAACCGATTCCAACAAACTGAATAATGTATGTATGCAAATATACAGGGTGTTTCATTAAAAAAAACAACACCGACTATGGCATACTTGCGTGAATCACCCTGTACATTTAAATTTATGTTTACATAACGCACAACTCAATTCAAAAGTTGACATGTCTCGGCATTTTTTATAATTTTCTAAAATAATGACAAAGAATTTTATTCCATAAGTGGTTTCCACACTGTATAATAAAATGTCATTAGCGGCAACAATACAGAAAAATATTGAACATTAAAAGCATCCCTTACGATTTGCAAAAATTTTCACCTTGTCATTTCTTTATTTTTGTGGTATAACTGTATTTATTCCAGCGTTGCCGACGCTAGTCATCAGATTAAAATACGAGACGAATGGCTTATCGCATGGCATCCAAAATACCAAAAACATTTTTCATACGAAAAAAATTCGTATAAGAGTACTCGAATACGAATATTTTCGCATAAGTTAGAAAATAGCAGCCCAGATCGTCTTCAACAGTACCGTCTGCGTAAAGACCCGAATAAAATTCTAGATAATCTTTAGATATTAAATGCCAAATCGATTTTAGGTCCCTTAAATTTTCTCCGGCAATTGGTTTTCCATTAGGCCAGAGAGCATTTATGTCGGACTGAGTAAAGAAGTTGTCTGGACGACCACGGGTTCTTTTGGATATATCAACCTCAACAAATGCATCATCGTTGAAATTTCCTTTCGTGTAAATTAAGAATGGTGCTTCTTTTACTATTCTTATATCCCTTGTGTTTAACCAACTTATATTTTTCCCGTTTACTCCTTTCTTTCGGTTGGTTATTTGCTTTTCTATTTTTCCTGAGATTCCAAAAAAAAAATATTTTTCCATTGGAGTAACGGAAAAAGGATTTTTTATGCGAGAAGTTTTCATTATTTCAAAATAATCTTCGGGAGTATATAGGCGCTGTTGTCTTTTGAGGGCGGCCTCAATTTTTCCGAAGTCATCGTCATTGGGTAAATAACTGTGTCCTGAGATCAAGTATTAAGTATCAAGTTACAGGATAAAAGAAATTATAGGATTTTTAGGATTATTAGGATTTATTTAGGACTCATTTAACATAAACTGCATTTCTAAAACCTAAAATAAATGCTACTAACAATAAATCTAGTGAATTATTTCATATTTTATAATTTGTTTACCTCCATTAAAATTTCCTTACTATCTTAAACTTGAGAATCCATGTAGTTTTCAAATTGGGAATCCATGTAGAATTTATCAAGAAGGAAAGAGGACATAAGTATCTTAATAATAAACAATTTTTACTATTTGTTACATTTCAAAACAACTTAAAATAATTTCGAAAGGTAACCAAATTATTAAATTAGTTTTGTTAACATTTACAGGTCATAAGTCACAAAAGTCGATTTTAATGAATGACAATTAGAATGAATGATTAGTAATATGAATTAAGTAATTATTCATTCATCTACTAGTTCTAAGAAATGTACTAGAACTAGACTTTTAATTAAAATGTTTTGTCTTTGTCTACCAACTAGATTACGTAGACATAAGTTATTCTCTTTTCAAGTATTAGAATTTGTAAACTAACAAACTATTTAATAATTTGGAGGGTCTTATCAAAAGGGAATATGTCATTTTGTTCTTCTTGTAAGAGCTTTCGTCAAGAACAAGTGTCTCAACATTTTTGTGGATTTTTTCAAAAGTTCTTGCTACCGCCCCTTTATCTGGGGGGGGGGTGCTTATTAGTAATGAAATTACCCCTTTGCTTAAATAATAAAGATAAATAATAGCAGAAGTAGTTTAATGAACTACCGGAGAGTGGGTGAGGGTTATATAATTTAAACTACACTTATGTTACCCATATAATTTAATTTCAGTCCAGGATCAGTGCAGGTTAGTTTCCAGTTTGTAATGTGAGCAATATTAACAAAAAAAGGGGCTAAACCTATCAAGTTGCCCTGCGATATCCAATTAGTACTAATTGTTTACAGTGAGGTGAATGTAAGTATATGAAATAAAAGGTAGATACTATTACTGAGGGTAATATATTTAAATATATTCGTTTACTATTACTAAGGGTAATATATCTATATTAGTTTACTATTAATGTCCTTTCTTTTAGGTATTTAGTCACTACACATACTACACAACGATATTGTCCGGGCCGGAAATAATAGGCTGAGGTTACAGCTCAGCTTATCAGCCTTAGAAGAATAAGGAAAATTCTTACTTGTTTGTAGCAGATCCAAGTTGTATGGGGTAGTCTTTTAGGTACACAATCGTTATAATAATAAGAGGACAGCAGTCTGGCTGTAGCATCTACAAATACATGTGCCTAGGAGCTAGTAAGCATGCAGTTATGGTCCAGCAAGTAGCTATTAATGGAGACAGGCAGTAAGACTGAAATCCAGACCAAAAAACAGGTAAACGGTAATCGTTAGTCTTTAAAGGTTCTAATTTAGCTCATGCAAGCAATTTATAGGTCTCTAAACCAAATACTAACAGGCCTAGAAGGAAATGCAATATAAGTAATACAAATAAGCGGAAAGGTATAGCTAAATATGGACCTACCGAATATAAGGTAGGGCTGTGCTAGGAACTACTTTATTCACAAGAAGTGCTGTCAAGACTAGACAATGTAGTTTCCTAGTGATAGTTGTAATTGTCTCTTAATATATGGCTTTTATTCCGAATAAAATTCGATAAATCTGAACAGGCACCACATGGACCCAACAAATTCATGCCATCAAAGAAAAAGCCAAAAAGGAAGGAAGTTCCTTGATTTAATGGCCGACCAATATCGCCAACTATTGAAATTTTAGGGGAAAATTGCATCTGTTCAAATAATAAATAATAACCTTGCCATAGAACATTTAAAAAATGAAATAGGTCCTAGTTACACTAGAAGAAGAAAGCTCAAGGTTGACAGATGATTATCAGAATGAAATGTTTACATTTTCTGTAGGTTAACCAAACTTTAAACTATTAAATTATCAACTTCTAAATTTGTTTTATTTTCAAAAGGGTAAGTTTCATTTAACTTTATATAACTTGTGAAAATGTATATCATTTAATCGATTTATATATTTATTTTCTCCTATTTAAATTAAAACCGTAACATTCTTCGTTTCAAGAGATTTCGAATTGTTCTATTGAATAGAAATTCATCAACCAAAGGTTGGATTTAATCTCACGTATTGAAAACTTCCAGAAACTATTGATCAGGAGGCCCTGAGCAAATTTATTACTCTTAGAGGTCACACCCCATCAAAGGTACTTTAAATAAAAACTTACGTTTCTCTCTCTTTCAGGCCTTTTTTTTTCTCCTTCTTTTTCTATATTTTAACGTTTCCTCTTATTTCTCCAAATTGTACATAACTTTCGACGTTATATTCCTCTGTAAACGTCGCCATCACAGACAACTTCATCCAGACCATCCATGGGAAATCATTGACTGATCTCATACGTCCCTAGTATCAACCTCTTGCGATCGATCCAGATCCAGACACTAGCCACGGAGAATCATCGACTGGTCTAATACCGGAGGTATACCTAGTCTCATCCCTTAACCTGCTATACAAGGTAACCTTTCTATGCTTTATTAATCGGGATTCCGGACTGTGTTATTGGACATATAAACCTGAAACCGCCTGATATATTTTGAGAATTTGTACGTATATATTTAGTTGTTAAATTTTTATCAAGCTAATTAGTTCATAGTATAAACTTACCATATCTTAACAATATATTGAACTTGTCCGATTATTTCCAGCCTTAAGCGTTGAATACTTTATTTTGTAAAATATTTGATTACCAATCATGTTATTCGCCGAA